GAACCAGAGCTGGAACCAAAACTGGAACAAGAGCTGGGACCAAAACTAGAACCAAAACTGGAACAAGAGCTGGAACCAGAGCAGGAACCTCTGGAGCCTGGCTCTGGTTGCATCCGTGTGAGCAGGAAGTCTCCAGCTCACACCAGGATTTGACTGCTGCTGCTCCACTGGTGCTTGAGAAATGAAAACGAGGCTTAAATGGAGCCTCACAGGACCATGGCGGCCATGTTGTTACCAGGCCTGGTCACCCAAACTCCAAAATTGAACAGGAGGCGGCTTTTCTACTCGTCTAAAACTGTTTATAGCGACGACCAGAATCCAAATCATCCTGAATCCTTTTTCTCCTGCCTTGATCTTCCTTTTGCTCACAGATGTCTGCTCGTTTCTGGACCTGTTCTGGCTCACAGCTCTGATACTTTAGCTTTGATGGGCGCTTCTGCTCCGTTCCTGTATTTCAGAGAGCCTCCTTCTTTTCTCCTCCCCACCCATCCTCCTCAGTATCCAGCTCCCTGCTTCCCCCTCAGTGGCCTTCAATCTGTCTGGCCTCTCGTTTCCCTATTTTTTTTAATGAGGCTCTGGCTTTGCTTTGGCTCCCAGTTCTGAAATAAATCCCTGGCTGATTTATTCCAGGATCAACGCGTTCAATCAGCCTGAGTCGGTCTGTAGCTTTTTGTTAGGTGGTGTCAGTCAGAGACTTTTGTCAGCAGGATGCTCAAATCAAAAGAAACTGACTGATTCTGGGAGTCAAAGGGGAGTTTTTCCTCTGGAGAGGAGGCACAACGGCTGCCTGTCCGAGCAGCTGCGGTTTGAAAACCGAGCAAACTACCCAATCAGCTGCTCGGATTTCAGAGAGAGAAAAATCCTTTGTATGTTTTCTGCGTTTAATGAGGCTGTTTGGGAGAAGAAAAAAAAAAAGAAAAGAAGTCTACGTTTCATCAGGCTTTAACGGTTCAGACGATAAAATCAAGCCTCTGAGGACACCAGCGGCTCGTTTCTCCCCTTTCACACAAACACAAAGGCGGCAGCCAGAGCTGACGGAGCCATTCCTCTGGCTCCGTCAGCCCCATAACCAGCTCCATTTGTTCTTCCACCAGCGGATAAGAAATCTATTAAAAAAAGGCGCCCATTTGGTTTTTGTTTGTGGTTTTCAGATCAAACTCCTGCCAACAGATCCCTAGTTTCAGACATAGAACTGAAGAGTTGAAGAAGAAAGGCAAAAGGATTAGAAGAAGAGTAGTGAGCAAAAGGCCATGAAATTATCAATAAGGTACCAGCAGATCTTAATGGGATTTGAACCGGGGACCTCTCGCTCTAGCACTGAGCTAAACCCCAGTCAACTGGGCTGCATAGGACATTTGACCCAATGTATTTCTATGAGAGGAAGGAAAGCAGAAAAAGTTGAATAATTTAAAAAGTTTAAAAGATTTCAACACCAACAGTCAGAGCTGCATTGTCCTGAAGGAGCTGAATGTTTCGATACATTATTTGTTTAAATTGACTGAAAACTGTTGACGTAGTTAGACGCAGAAAAGGTCCGCAATAGGAACAGGAAGACAGTAGTGAGAATCCTGGAAGGCTTCTTCTCACAATAATACAGGAAATTGCGCTAACGTGCTTCTGGGCTGAAACGGAGACGTCAGGTTTGATGACTTACTGAGTACGACGATGAAGCTCTGATTGTCTAGGAGGAGCCAGAGTCCAAAGCCCAAGATCACGAGTCCCAACAGCTGGAGGAGCAACACAAACAGTCAGTCAGTGTAAAACTGCACATCTGGAAGACTTTGCTGGCCAGCACAAACACATCTGAACCATTTTCTGTGGTTTAATTTTTCAAAAAATGCCTTGAAAACGTATTTTTCTCTAATAAATCTACTAAAACGGACACATAACATCGGATCAGAGCACATTTAGCTGCAGAATAATGAGCAGAATCAGGCTGAACAACAAGCTATTACTACTCTAAGCTAAGACAAGCTAACATTAGCATTTTCTTCTTTTGAAACTCTTTTAAACATAATTGTTGGAGAAATGTTGCCACAGGCGTAGAGCACAAGGACATAAAGACTTTGGGAACATCAGAAAATGAACTTATAATACCTTATCGTTATCAGAGGGAACGTTTTTAAACTCATGTCATCGTAAGCTTCTTTGCTAGTAGCAACTGCACAGATTTTGAGATGTTAAGCTAACTGCAAATATCCAAATATTCTGTGGATGGAAAGTTTTTATGGTCCGACGCTTTCTGGTTTTGGGATGTGGGTCCAGTGGTCCAGATGGGGGTGCAGATGGGAGTCCAGTAGTCCAGATGGGGGTCCAGTGGTCCAGATGGGGGTCCAGTAGTTGCTTCTTACAACGTATAATATTGTTGCATCTATGAAATCTGGGATTTTCCAACATGACAGTCTTTGTTCCCCTTTTAGCTGAATAATTTCTGCTCGTTATGCAAATGAGGAGCCTTTGGCAGCGTTTCCTGGCAGGTCTGTGTGCCGTCATGCAGTTAGTTTCACTGCACGGCCACAACAGAACCTCCCCAGAACAAATACAGAAGAAATAAGCTCCCAAGAAGGTTCTAGAAACGTCTTGGAGATATTTTCATATCCAGAAACAATTTTTATGTCACTGAACGTAGAACGCAGAAGGATTTCACAACGTCTTGCCTCAGTGCCTCTGCTTTAAACGGAGTTTGAGGCCGTCTGGATCTTTCTGTGGATCTGGGTCTGGACCACATGGGCACACCGCACATTTTGAGGTGGACTTCTCCTCTCAGAAGCAGGGCAACGTCCCAGAATGGACAGTTTTCTCTCAGCTGCTGTGCTCCAACTGTCTGAAAAGCCATTTAAAGAGGCGGCCTGACTTCCTGTTTGGTGGCTCTACTACAGAAACGACGTAAACCGCCCGGTGAAGCACCTCAGTGTCTCTCACAGCAGGGTTTCACAACGTCTGATAAGAACCGATAAGAATCTTCTACGGCAGTCTTCAAAAACCACTTGATACTCACAAAGAAGATGAGGTTGAAGAGGAACAGGAAGTACTTGCTCGCTGTCACGCAGCCTTTCCCCATGATGCCGAAGATGATCTGCAAGACACGGCACATATTTACACCATCGTTTTCTGCTGTAAACCGAGTTTTTGAGCCAAAACGAGGCAATTTTTCTGCTTCAAACTGAGTTTTCTCTGCCAGTTTGAGCCAAAATGAGGCCGTTTTTCTGCTTTAAACTGAGTATTTGAGCCAAAACGAGGCGGCTTTTTTGCCTCAGACTGAGTTTCTCCGAGTTGGAGCAGAGGCCTGAGCCCCGACTCCAATCTGCCTACAGATGGTGGCAGATGCTGTAAAAGCTGGAGACCTCTGGGCTTAAGCCGGCCTGAATGAGCATGATCAGGACTGGGGGTGGGGGGGGGGTGGCTTAAATCTCCAGGATTACACCCACAGAAGCAGCACAACTCAATCTGTGAGTTTGTGGAGGAGGGCGGCGTCTTCAGCCTGCCCCCCGTGACCCCCCCCGGCCTAATCTGCACACAATCCCCGACTCCAGGCCTCCCGAGCTGCTCCGACCAGACGGATGGAGCTCCTTTCTGAGCTCAGATGGACGGAGAACAACCAATCAGAGCTCAGGCAGATGTTTCCTGTCACCAGCCAGCTGCTGGCAGCAGGAAGCTCCACACAGAACAAACCATCACAGCAAACAGGAAGCTCTCTGAGCTCTGATTTTAGGTTAGTGCCACGATTCCGGCCAATCAGAGCTCAGATGGATGGAGAATAATAAATCAGAGATCAGATGGATGGAGAATAACCAATCAGAGCTCAGATGGATGGCGAATAACCAATCAGAGCTCAGATGGATGGAGAACAACCAATCAGAGCTCAGACAGATGGAGAATAACCTATCAGAGCTCAGATGAATGGAGAATAACCAATCAGAGCTCAGACTAAGAGAACAATCAATCAGAGCTCAGACGGATGGAGAATAACCAATCAGAGCTCAGACGGATGGAGAATAACCAATCAGAGCTCAGACAGATGGTTATTCTCCACCTGGCTCAAACCCAGCCCAGTTAGAATCCGTCCAGCTCAGACCTGGTCCGGCTCAGACCCGTTCCGGTCCCACTCCTCACCCTGCTTGGTGCCACTCTGCTTAAACCAACAGGTTTTTTTTTTACCAAAGCCGAAGAAAACATCTGAGCAACCCCAGAAAAATGAAAAGCCAAAGGACTTATGGAAAAGTTATGGAAAATCCCACGTAACCTGAATGCAGCACGCTGTCAGATAAATCTATGGAGGCCCCTGCCGCCGACCCACTTTCACTGTAACTGGGTTACTGTTACAGCCCTGGGGGAGGGGGGGGGCGGGGGGGGGAAACCGACTTGGAGAGCCCCATGGAAGATATTGTTCTGCACAGCCAGAACAGAGGGAAATGGAGTCAGCCGGTCGGGTTAAAACCGGTTTGGTTTAAATTGGTCGGGTCTCAGTGAGCGCTCTGCGTCTCCGTCACACCTCACCACCGCCCGTGGTTTCGTTTTCTCTCCTGAAGCAGCCGCAGGCCGACAAATTTACACCAGACTGACGGGAAGTGGCACGCAGGGACCACTTCTCAGCCAGTGAGAACCTAAACTTTTGTTGTGATCCTCACAACAAATGTCTTCCAAAGACTGAGGAATTAACGGCTCCAGGCTGGAGACCGAAAACATGACACAGCATTTTTGGAAAAGTCTGAAAACATGACGCAGCATTTAAAAAAAAACTGAAAACATGACGCAGAATTTAAACTTCAAACAAAGGTCTGGAAACATGACACAGCATTTAAACAAAAGCCTGAAAACATGACTAAGCATTTAAACTTTAAACAAAGGTCTGAAAACATGACTAAGCATTGAAACTTTAAAGTTTAAAGGCTGCCTTAATTTGAAGCAGCACAGGGCCTCGACACGCTCCAGATGCTGACAGAAAAAAGAAGAAGAGGTTCCACTTGGAGGAGCAGACGGCTGGAAAATGGCTAAACCAAAACCAGAAGAGGCCTCACAGCGGCTTCTGACCCAGTTCCCACACACTGGAACTGGGTCAGGTTCTGGTAGCACACAGAGCTGGAAACGGCCCCCAGAACAGAACCCCCAGAACAGAACCCCAAGAACTTTATGGTTGTTGTGCATCTATAGTTGTTGTGAGGCTATAGTATTTGTTTGTCTATAGCTGTTGTGCGTCTATGGTTGTTGTGTGTCTATGGTTGTTGGGAGTCTATGGTTGTTGTGTCTCTATAGTTGTTGTTTGTCTATAGCTGTTGTGCGTCTATGGTTGCCTGTCTATGGTTGTTGTGTCTCTATAGTTGTTAGGAGTCTATGGTTGTTGTGTTTCTATAGTTGTTGGGAGTCTGATTGTTGTGTCTCTATAGTTGTTGGGAGTCTGATTGTTGTGTCTCTATAGTTGTTGGGAGTCTACGGTTGTTGTGTCTCTATAGTTGTTGGGAGTCTATGGTTGTTGTGTCT